AGTTTTATGGGATAAGTAGCCTTCACTGCATGCATTATTTTTATTTAAAGTTTTTTAGATGTTTGCAGACTTTGTTTATTTACACGATTCAAAAAACTGAAGTAAGAACTAAATGGCTTTCAACAGAGCAGGTAAATAAAATTTCACCTGTTTCTGTGACCTCAGCATCGGAAAAGATTGTTGTTTTTTCATTCTCTAATGTGAACAAGGTACTAATAAGACCTGACTGGGCTCAGAGACATCCTACATGCTAAAGCGAACGATTCGAAGTCCCGCCTAACCATACCTTAGACTAAAGGCTAAACTTGTCCATAAAGATAGTAAGTAAATTAGAAGTGGGTTATTGTTACATAAAGTTACGAAGTTTTATTAAAATGTTTATAAACAATTTAAAACACATATTGCAAGTACGAGTACAAAGTACAAAGCAGACAATACAAATAAATTGACAATTAAAGCATCTGCAGCTAAGTATGTATCAACCAGCATTGTTAGCATAACAGTTATAAGATGTACTCCACACATTTTTTTATCAGCTAAGCTTGTATCTAAAGCCTTTATCATTACCATTTTTATGTATGATATTTGGCTTCTAAGGAATCCTGTGGTTTTTTTTATTTTAGATTGAGGGTTAAATCTATTTTAATTACATTTGGTTAGCAACAGTTGGCATAATTCAAGAGAAGATTTTTAAATGAATAGAGGTTAAAATAAACACAATAACTAGTTCGGCTTTAGATAATCATATCAAATTACCTATAACATTTGATCACCATTCTATTTTAATCATTAAAAAGCTGTTTTCACATGACAAGACTTAAAATTTATATCACCAAAAAATTTTTTTATATTACAAACTACTTTAATAACTAAATATTTGTTATCACAAGACTTAATCAGTAAAAGAAAAATGGTTACAAAAAGCCAGTGCTTCTTCTCCTCCCAAAAAAAGTAAACCTTAGCCTCCCCCCTCCCACCCCGTGAACAGGACATTACTTCACCCCCCCCCCCCCCCTCGAACATCCTCCACCAAGTAATTACCCCCGTCCAATAGAACATTATCACCCCCCTATCCCGGGAACAGAGCCTTTATCCCCCCCCCCCCCGTCAATTACCACCCGGACATCCCCCACCGAGTAACTACCCCCGTCCAGTAATACTTTATCAACCCCCCCCCCCGGTAATAGTTACAGTTAGGGATGTAGTTAGGGCGAGTGAATGTTGTAGTGTATAATATGACCAAAATATTCCCAAAGCAATCTTACATATTTGTATACAAGCGACTTCGGGAAAAATATTTGTAGCACTAAATTGTTTTTTTAGCCTAAGGTTTCATTTGAACGGAAGTTACGTTTATACATAAACATCGTGGCGAGAGAAAGAAGTACCTCGTCGATGAAAAAACCCAATATTGAAAAAAAAAAGGAAATGGCTAGAAGACGCGATTCATCCTCCAATGTCGTAAAATTCATGCCTCCAACACTAGTAAACTGCAGTACGAGCTGCTCCGATCTAGATCTAGAAGAAAATGAACACATCAGCATATCACTAGCAACACAAACAATGTCAACAAACGACTGCGCCGTCAAACAAACAAGCAGATCTCAAAAGAAAGAACAACATCCTGCACAACACTCACTGATGGATATAAGCCAGGTTGTAAACGATTTGGAAAGGGAGGTCCTGAAATTAAAAGAAATGATTAGTGCATGTCTGAAAGAGGAGGAGGCTGAAAGGAGAGATTGCAAATTTAAAAAACCTAAAGGTAAAGCAGATGTTTGTGGGGTCTAAAATTATCGGGTGTGAAACGCGTGGGTGCATAGTGATCGGGCGTTATCTCGAACGTCGGGTGACGGTACGGAGCCCTACTCGGAAACGTGGGCTAGCGTCCGTTGACAGGCGCTGATTTTTAATAGACACCTTGGGGTACATATTCCCTGGGCGCCGACACTAGGGGCGCCAAAATGGGTTGGGGAAAAAATTAAAAGCTCACTTTGGCTGAAGTTTTGCATTATAAATATTTTAAAAATATATGGCGGGGGGGGGGGGGTGCGCCTAACTGAAAGTTTGTCCCCGGGCACGAGAAAGGGTCGCTACACCTCTTCCTTGCACTCTGTTGGACGTCGGTGAGGTAGCCCACTGGTATATAACAGGAGGGGCGGCTCTGGTCGAGAGTAAATCGGTTAAATCGGTTATTGGTTAAACTGATGTCTAGCTCCCGTTAGTATGACATCGTGTGTCCATGGCCAGATGCCTTGTTCCTGTGGCCAGATGCCTTGTTATTGTGGCCAGATGCCTTGTTTTTTGTGGCCAGATGCTTGATTGATGAGTGACTTTACCATCCCCATTACCCATAAACCAGGTTCTCAGTATAACTTCCCCTTACAGATAAAAAAAAAAGAATAAGGAAAAAAGTAAATTCTACCCACAATATTCTTTTCAGTGTCGTCTGTGACCATATCAATTGACTGTTTTGCCTCTACTTCAGTAGAAGATGATATAACAAGGCTAGAAAATGAAGGTGTGGAATGTTGTCATGGTGTAGATGAATCACATGATGATATCAGCTCTGACCAAAAAAAAGACAGGGTCAGACATCGAAGTAAATCTGAACCACTTCTAACTAGAAATAAGTCTCAGCATAAAGCAAACACCTACACCAGTGAAGACCAGCCCTTTGAGGACTTGTTGTGCGTTAGTACTAATTACAGTGAGTCAGAGATAAAGAACAGATTCAATGTTAGAGAAAATAACGAGAAAACGGTCAGACAGCAAAGTAAATCTGAACCACGACAAACTCGAAATACGTCGCAGCATAAAGCAAACACCTACACCAGTGAAGACCAGCCCTTTAAGGACTTATTCTACGATTTTACCAGCAGTGAGTCCGAGATAGAAAACAGATTCAATGTTAAAGACAATAAGAAGAAAACGATCAGATATCGAAGTAAATCTGAACCACGACAAACTCGAAATACGTCGCAGCATAAAGCAAACACCTTCACCAGTAAAGAAGATCAGCCCATTATTGACTTGTTCTGCCACGATTCATACACGCCAACGAGCATAGAAAGTGGGCAGTTCATTAAATGCCACCCATCTAGCGAGCAGCAAGCGTGCATAAAAAATCAAAATCTAAAAACATATAAACCAAAGAAAAATCTACGAAGCTGGGATCTCTACTACTGATTGCGAAGAAAGTAGCAAAACCGAATAACTAGCTGAGAAGACGTATTTTATTAGTAGTTGTCTTTTTATCCGTATCATTATCACTCATAACATTTTTAAACTAGAAAAATGTGTGATAGTCAAGCCTTGCGGAAAGTCCCTCACCATCTCACACCACCGCATCCACACACCACCCTACCACTCCCACACATGACACTACCTCATTCCCGCACCACCCCACCTTACCAACACTTTATCCCACCACATCCACCAATCACCCTACCACTTTCGCACATAACTACACTACATCCACACACCACTCCACTACATCCCCACACCACTCCACTACATCTACACACCACTCCACTACAAATACACATCACTCTACTACAAATACACATCACTCCACTACATCTACACATCACTCTACTACATCTACTCATCACTCCACTACAAATACACATCACTCCACTACATCTACACATCACTCCACCGTATTTTGCACACATCACTACATCCACACATCACCTCACCACAACCTCATCCAAACATTAACTCACATCCACCTTCCACTACACATCATTCCTACATCATCCACTCCACCACACCCACCCACACATCCTTCCATCACATCCACAAGCCACTTCTCCAATTCCGCACAACATTACATGCAGAGGTTGGGCTTTTTCCAAGTAAATTCAGCTCGGATGGACCTTTACTTGTGTGAGGATTTTGACTTGGTGTTAACATTCAATGCGGATGTTGCTTCGCTATATATTCTGAAACACGAGAGTGCCATCCCAGTAACTACGTCATCCCTGATCACATGAAAATCTGGGACAATATCAAAGTTCAAAGACTCGCTCTGAAAGTCTCAAGTGGAGTCGACCCTGGGCCGGTGTGTCTTCACTGCAGGCTCGTCCCCAGTGAATGTGTCAAGTCTTTTATAATGACTAAACCAGTGCTTGGAGATCGTTGATCAGTTCGCCATCTTGTGTTGATACCCTGTCTCTCAGATGATATGTAATATTCGCTCACTCGCTGACAAATAAAAGGAAAATCATCGAAATTCTAGGGCTTACTCCTACTTTTGTCAGAACATTAAACAATATACATTATACATTATACATTATACATTATACATTATACATTATACATTATACATTATACATTATACATTATAAATTATACATTATACATTATACAATTTACATTATACATTATACATTATACATTATACATTATACATATACATTATACATTATACATTATACACTATACATTATTCATTATACATTATACATTATACATTATACATTATACAGTACACATTATACATTATACATTATACATTATACATTATACGTTACACGTTATACGTTACACGTTACACGTTATACGTTACAAGTTATACGTTACAAGTTATACGTTACACGTTACACGTTACTTGTTACACGTCACACGTTACACGCCACTTGTTACACGTTACACGTTACACGTTACACATTTACACGTTACACGTCACACGTTACACGTCACACGTTACACTTTACACGTTACACGTTACACATTTACACATTACACATTTACACATTACACATTTACACATTACACATTTACACATTTACACATTTACACATTACACATTACGCATTTACACATTTACACATTACACATTTACACATTTACACAGACGCAGACGCACACGCACACGCAGACACAGACACAGACAAGACACAGACACAGACACAGACAAGACACAGACGTAGACGTAGACGTAGACGTAGACGTAGACGTAGACACAGACACAGACACAGACATAGACATAGACATAGACATAGACATATGCGTAAACATATGCGTAAACATATGCGTAAACATATGCGTAAAATATGCGTAAACATATGCGTAAACATATGCGTAAACATATGCGTAAACATATGCGTAAACATATGCGTAAACATATGCGTAAACATATGCGTAAACATATGCGTAAACATATGCTTAAACATATGCGTAAACATATGCGTAAATATATGCGTAAACATATGCGTAAACATAAGCATATGCATATTTTTTTGACACCAATCATCCGATCGCCATGAAATTTTGGGGAGTTGATTAATACACTAAAGGTGAGGTTTCTGCGAAAAACTTTTCTCTATATAAGGTATATAAAAAGTAAAAGTCGATTGCGGTTTGACACCGTTTATACCTCCAAATCCAACACAATTCCCTTTAAGTATTACGAGTCAACACGTTATGCGCCATATAGGCCGTTGACTTTTCAGCCTGCTTTTCTTCATGGATTTCATTCCACAGCCTTTGTCCAACGTATAACAGCCGAAAGCGATGTCAGATATTTATTTATTTATTTATATATATATATATATATATATATATATATATATATATATATATATATATATATATATATATATATATATATTTAAATCTTTCATGAGCGTCCATTATTGAATTGATGTCTTACAGAATTCAAACAAATCACCCATGAAGGTCAAATATTGGATTGATGTCAAAAGATTTGAAGCAAATCATTAATGAAGATTCAGCATTGATTTGATTTCTAACAAAATTATAACCTATCATTCATGAATGTTTTGAACTCAATGAGGGATTTTAGTGTATGTGAGAATAAAAAAAAAATTGTTTTTCAACACTAGGTTTACGAGCAAAGTAAGATTTAGGGCTAGAGTCTAAAATGCTTTTTGAATCAAGAAGTTAGACGCAAGCTTAGCATATTCTAAAAATACACACTTATATTTCTAAAGCATTAAAAAATTAAATATACATTGCATAGTTGCAAGTTAAGATATTGATAAGTAACTGATAGCTATTTTAGTATCAATCGGCTGACAGTTCCTATATATTATTTTGATATATGTTGTTGGTTATATACAAGACTGATTAAATATGAAAAAGTTTGCATTCAGATATAGGTTTGTTTATTCATGGCCCCAAAAACATTGTAAGCAAACTTAACGGTTTAGATTAAAATATAAGTAAAATATAAGCCGGTGCATATTATACTAAGACCCTAATTTTGCTTTCATAACAATCTGGATATACGAGCTATAACTTGACATCTGCACTTAACATATGTCCACCAATTGAACATACGGGCTACTACTTGACATCTGCACTTAATTAAAATTGTGCATTGTTATAATGATTGGGATCTGATTATGTTTAAAATAGAAATACACATAACAAATCAAGTTTGATGGGATGAGTAGCCTTCACTGCATGCATTATTTTTATTTGAAGTTTTTTAGATGTTTGCAGACTTTGTTTATTTACATGATTCACAAAACTGAAGTAAGAACTAAATGGCTTTCAACAGAGCAGGTAAATAAGATTTCACCTGTTTCTGTGACCTCAGCATCGGAAAAGATTGTTGTTTTTACATTCTCTAATGTGAACCAGGTACCAATAAGAGCTGGTTGGGCTCAGAGACATCCTACAGGCTAAAGCGAACGATTCGAAGTCCAGCCAAACCATACCTTAGACTAAAGGATAAACATGTCCATAAAGATAGTAAGTAAATTAGAAGTGGGTTATTGTTACATAAAATTACGAAGTTTTATTAAAATGTTTATAAATAGTTCAAAACACATTGCAAGCATAAAGCCGATAATACAAATCCAATGACCTGCACCTAGGTATGTAGCAACCAGCATTGATAAAATAACAGTTATAAGATGTACTCTAGACAATTTTTTATCAGCTAAGCTTGTATCTAAAGCCTTTATCATTACCCTATTTATGTATAATATTTGGCTTCTAAGGAACCGTGTAGTTTTTTTATTTTACATCTAGGGTTAAATCTATTTTAATTACATTTGGTTAGCAACAGTTGGCATAATTCAAGAGAAGATTTTTAAATGAATAGAGGTTAAAATAAACACAATAATTAGTTCGACTTTAGATAATCATACCAAATCTATATATATATAGCAATGTATGTGTGTGTGAGTGAGAGAGTTTCTTTTATGCATTACCACACCTCTTATCACATCGCCGTCGAACTTTGGGAAGTTGTTAAGAATATTCCTGGGGAGGTTTCTGCGGAAAAAAAATTTCAAATTCGCAGGGGTGGCGCCCCGGTAGGGCGCGATTTGTTTTCTCTCTATATACGGTATATAAAAAAAAGAGTCGATTGCAGATTCACACTGTTCATCCAATCGCCGTCAAACTTTGGGGAGTTGATTAGAGCAATTCAGGGAATGGTTCTATAAAAAAATCATTTTAATATCGCAAGGGCGGCGATACGGGAGGGTGCGATTTTTCTCTATATACGGTATATAAAAATAATAAAAGTGAATTACAGTGACACCGTTCACACGATCGCGATCAAACTTTGGGAATATGTTGAAAATATTTCTGGGGAGGTTTCTACTTAAAATACATTTTCAAATTCGCAGGGGTGGCCCTCCGGTAGGGCGCAATTTGTTTTCTCTCTATATACGGTATATATATAAAAAAGAGTCGATTGCAGATTCACACTGTTCATCCAATCGTCGTCAAACTTTGGGGGGTTGATTAGAGCAATTCAGGGAAGGGTTCTGTAAAAAAATAATTTTTAATATCGCAAGGGCGGCGCCACGGGAAGTTGCGATTTTTCTCTATATACGGTATAAAAAAAAATTATAAAAGTGAATTGCAGTGAATTGCAATGACACCGTTCACAAGATCGCTATGAAACTTTGAGAATATGTTGAGAATATTCCTGGGGAGGTTTCTGCGCTAAAAACATTTTCAAATTCGCCCTGTAGGGCGCGATTTGTTTTCTCTTTATATATGGTATATAAAAATAAAAGTCGATTGCGGTCTCACAACGTTTATCCGATATCCATTGTTATGACCGCTCCTTGACAGCCGCGGAGGGAGCGGACACCCCAGGTTCGTTTGGTATGGTACCGATAGAAGTCACTCTAATGGAATCCCAACAACTTGCCGTGAGCTCGTTAATGCTGTCTAGGGGTAAAACACGACAAATCGAAGAGACTCAACACGACTTAAACTATCAATACCTTTTTAATAAATGTACAAGATTATGACACTAGGTAAGTTCAAAATGTACAGACTCTAAGAGTACAATAAATAAACTCAAAAACTCCAACTTACAGTTTGAGAAAATCACAATATATCACAGCTGTGGCTTAGTATATTATACACCAAAACAGATCAATACTTCACACAACTGAATGGCATCATAATTACCACAAAAAAACCAAGAAGAGACGTATTGCCTCTACAACAATAGAAATCCAAATAAAGGACCAAACTATCACCGAAGTAATCAAAAAGTTGCAATAATACACCAGAACACAATAGTTGAAATACTACAACTTGTCACATAATACCTTATACAAAGGTGATAAAACATTACACAATATTATAATACTGAACAGTGGCACACATAACCACCGGCACAACTCTCCTGGTCCAAAGGTCAATCTGGCTGCCTTTGAACATGAAAAAACCCGAGATTAAATACAACTCAGATTAAGGGGAAATAACTCAAAAGTCTTAAGACTATTGGTTGAGGATCTGTCAAGGATCCTCACGGTCGCAAGACCATTGGTTGAGGTTCTGCCAGGGATTAAAATTACAATCACCTGATGTGACAGAGTTCAGTTGACAGATTCGTACCAGTGAACTGACAATTCTCCCAAGGACAAATACATAACTCAGGAGACTAAAAAGCAAAAAGACCTAAGTAGGTCACACCATCAATCTTCAGGGACTTGATTAGAACACTCCAGGGAAGGGTTCTGTAAAAAGGCATTTTTATTTTCGCAAGGGCGGCGCCACAGGAGGGTGCAATTTTCTCTATATACGGTATATAAAAATAAACTTCGATTACGGTTTCACGGCGTTCATCCGATTGCCATCAAACTTTAGGGAGTTCATTAGAAAACTCTGGGGAAGGATTCTGTAAAAAAATCATATTTAATGTCGCAAGGGCGGCGCCACGGGAGGGTTCGCTTTTTCTCTATATACGGTATATAAAAATGGTTTGACACAGTTTATCCGGGTGGCATAAAACTTTAGGGAGTTGATGAATACTCCTGAGAAGGTTTCTGGGGTGGGAGAGGGGTAGGGGTGGGTGTGTGGTGGTGGGAGGGGGGATTTAATTTTGCATGGGCGGCTCCCCGGCAGGATGCGATTTGGCGCCCTGGTCTTTCCCGTGAGTGCTTTGGCGACTACGTTGGGTCTAAACAGCGTGAAAGACAATGGATTGGATGTGGCGTTACAAACGCAAACTAAATTGAATCAGGCGTGTCCGCCGGCGCCCTGGTAGGGTGCGATTTGGCTGCAAATAAAAATGTCTGTTTCGGCCCCCAAAGGCTCACATGGGCTGCTGAGGGCCATGTAATACGTTTTAATTTGATAATCAGAAAAACTAACCACGGTTAGATTATTAACTGGGGTGCTTCTTTTTGTCCGTAAAAAAAACAGTTTCGTCACTTTGCGAATGATGCAATTAGCATATATTTTTAGAAAAACAATCAGAAATTGAGATCGAGCATCTAATAATAGACTATTAGTAACGCTAACATATTGCATCAGTCACACTGATGTTTAAAATACTTTAAATACTTTTTTTACGTGCTAAAGAAAATAATCCTGTTCATTTGTGTCACTTTTGCGAATGACGCAATCTGCATAATTGTTAACAGGATGCTATTTGGCACGATGGCGCCTGTTAGTTTTAAGGAGCCAGAGGCCGTGCGTGGCGCCTATACATCCCTGACACAAGGGTGGTCACCGAAGTGTGTTCTGCCTGATTATTTTGGTGAGTGATTAATGTACACATAAGGTTTTCACGCGGTAGTGTAGGTAAACCCGTGTCCCGGTATTTATGATCCAAGCGCAGGCATTGTTTTTATTTAAATAACTCTTTTTTAGAAAACAAGGTTACGCATCTAAGAATATAGGATTGGTAGCGTATAGATGAAACCCTTTTTCTACCCCCGCGGCAACGCGCGGGACGGGTACGCTAGTTACATATACAATCTGATCACAATTCTATTTTAATCATTAAAAAGCTGTTTTCACATGACAAGATTAATAAAATTTATATCACCAAAAATAGTTTTTATATTACAAACTACTTTAATAGCTTAATATTTGTTATCACATCACAAGACTTAATCAGTAAAAGAAAAATGGTTACAAAAAGCCAGACCTTTTTCTCCCCAAAAAAGTAAACCTTAGCCTCCCCCCTCCCCACCCCGGGAACAGGACATTACCACCCCCCCCCCCCCCCCAAACATCCCCCACCAAGTAATTACCCCCGTCCAGTAATACTTTATCACAACCCCCCCCCCCCCTGGTAATAGTTACAGTTAGGGATATATTCCCAAAGCAATCTTACATGTACACAAGCGACTTCGGGAAAAACATTTGTAGCACTAAATTGTTTTTTTATCCTAAGGTTTCATTTGAACGGAAGTTACGTTTATACACAAACATCGTGGCGATCGAAAAACAAGTTTCTCGTCGATGAAAAAAAAAAACCCAATCACTAAAATATTGAAAAAAAATGGCTAGAAGACGCGATTCATCCTCCAACGTCGAAAAGTTCATGAAACCAAAGCTAATAAACTGTAGTACTAGCAGTACGGATCTAGATCTAGATCCAGAAGAAAATGAAGGCCTCAGCATAGCACTAGCAACACTAACAATGCCAACAAACGACGGCGCCGGCAAACAAACAAGCAGATCTCAAAAGAAAAAACACCATCCTGTACAACACTTACTGATCGATATAAGCCAGGTTATAACCGGTTTGGATAGGGAGCAACTCCTGAAATTAAAAGAACTTATTAGTGCATGTCTGAAAGAGGAGGAGGCTGAAAAGGGAGAATGCACATATAAAAAACCAAAAGGTAAAGCAGATGTTTGTGGGGTCTAAAATTATCGGGTGTGAAACGCGTGGGTGCATAGTGATCGGGCGTTATCTCGAACATCGTGTGACGGTACGGAGCCCTACTTGGAAACGTGGGCTAGCGTCCGTTGACAGGCGCTGATTTTTAATAGACACCTTGCACCAGAGCCGTAGCGTGTGGGGGGGGGGGGGGGGGTACATATTCCCTGGGCGCCGACACTAGGGGCGCCAAAATGGGTTGGGGAAAAAATTAAAAGCTCACTTTGGCTGCAGTTTTGTATTATAAATATTTTTTTAAAATATGAGGGGGGGGGGGGTGCGCGCCTAATTGAAAGTTTGTCCCCGGGCGCGGGGAAGGGTCGCTACGCCTCTGACTCGCCCTCTGTTGGACGTTGGTGAGGTAGCCCACTGGTATATAACAGGAGGGATGGCTCTGGTCGAGAGTAAAAAAAGGTACAGTATAGGCCTCGGATAGTAGCCAGAGTTTCTTTCAGGCATCTCTTCGAACGAAATGGAATTTATATAGAAAGTATATACATTTGACAATGTTCCCCCCCTCCGAAAATTTCAAGTACCCCTTTACCCCGGAGAGAAATAAAGTCTGGAAGAAACACTGATAGTGGCAGACCTTAGGCTGGCTTATTGGTTAAGCTGATGTCTAGCTCCCGTTAGTATGACGTCGTGTATCCGTGGCCAGATGCCTTGTAGGATGAGTATCTATACAATCCCCACCACTAACAAACCGGGTTCTCAGTATAACTTCCCCTTACATATAGAAAAAAATTAAGGATAAAGTAAATTCTACCCACAATATTCTTTTCAGTGTCGTTTGTGTCAAGAACAGCTGAAACTGAGGACTTAAGATACGAATCAGATGAGGATACCAACTCTGACATTGAAAAGATACACACGGAAAGACAAAAACATCGAGATCAACATCCAATGAAATGTAAAAGACAGTCAGAGACATCCATGGTTAAAGAAAATGAGGAGACAATGAAAATGAGACAGCGAAGTAAATCATCGGAATCAGCTCTAAAAAATACATCGATTTATAGAGTAAACGCCTCCACCAGTTATAACCAGCTCCTTGAGAACGGTGCGTACGATGTCAGCCACGAAAGGTACACTCTAAATGGCATAAAATGTGGGCATGTCATGAAATGCCCCTCATCTGGCGATCAGCCAAAAAAATAAATGGGAAAAAACGTATAAACCCCAAAACAAAATCTACGAAGCAAAAAGCTCGACTACTGATGGCAAAGAAATTAACCAGCTGAGAAGACCTATTTTATTATTAGGTTGCTGTTTATCCGTCCCATTACATTTTTGTGTATGATAGCCAGGCCTTGGAGAAATTCATTCACCATCTCACCCCCCCCCCCGCTTCCCGACACCACCCTACCACATCCACCCATCACCCCACCACTTTTGCACATCACTCCACCCTATCTACACATCACTCCACTACATGCACACTTGCACACATCACTACATCCACACCTCACCACATCAACATCCACACATCACCTTTCAACATCCACACATCACCTCACCACATCACTACATCCACACATCACCTCACCTCATCCACCCTCCACCACACATCATTCACACATCACCTACCCCACCACACCCACACATCCCTCTACCACATCAACACAACCCTCCATCACACCCACACGTCACTTCTCCAATTCCGCACACCATTACATGCAGAGGTTGTGCTTTTTCCAAATCAATAGGGGCCTACAGCTCTGACGGCACTTTTTCTTGTGTGAAGATTGTGACTTGGTGATAACATTCAATGAGGATTCGCTATAGAGTTCGTTTCGGTCAAATTCATTGATATGGTTGAGTTAGGTAGTGAATTCCGCCTTAAGATCCCTGATCACACGAAAATCTGGGATAATCTCAAAGTTCAAAGCCTCGCTCTGAAAGTCTCTAGTGGAGTCGATCCTGGGACGGTGTGTCTTCACTGCAGGCTTGTCCCCAGTGAATGTGTCAAGTCTTTTATAATGACAAGAACAGTGCTTGAGATCGCAGAACAGTTCGCCATCTTGTGTTGATACCCTGTCTCTCAGATGATATGTAATATTCGCTCAGTCGCTGAAAATAAAACGAAAATCATAGAAATTTTAGGGCTTACGCCTACTTTTGTCAGAACCTTATACATTATACATACACATACACATACACATACACATACACATACACATACACATACACATACACATACACATACACATACACATACACATACACATACACATACACATACACATACACATACACATACACATACACAAACACATACACATACACATACACATACACATACACATACACATACACATACACATACACATACACATACACATACACATACACATACACATACACATACACATACACATACACATACACATACACATACACATACACATACACATACACATACACATACACATACACATACACATATATATACATACATAAAGCAATTTATGTCTGTGTGTCTGTTTTTTATGCATTACTCCACTCTTCATCCGATCGCCATGAAACTTTGTGAAGTTGTTGAGAATACTCCTTCGGATGTTTTAGCCTCATCAGGTTGCTACTAGCTACAACGTTTTAGCCTTATCATGTTGCTACTAGCTACAACGTTTTAGCCTTATCAGGTTGCTACTAGCTACAACGTTTTAGTCTTATCAGGTTGCTACTAGCTACAACGTTTTAGCCCCATCAGGTTGCTACTAGCTACAACATTTTAGCCTTATCAGGTTGCTACTAGCTACAACATTTTAGCCTTATCAGGTTGCTACTAGCTACAACATTTTAGCCTTATCAGGTTGCTACTAGCTACAACATTTTAGCCTTATCAGGTTGCTACTAGCTACAACGTTTTAGCCTTATCGGGTTGCTACTAGCTACAACATTTTAGCCTTATCAGGTTGCTACTAGCTACAACGTTTTAGCCTTATCAGGTTGCTACTAGCTACAACGTTTTAGCACCATCAGGTTGCTACTAGTTACAACGTTTTAGCCTTATCAGGTTGCTACTAGTTACAACGTTTTAGCCTTATCAGGTTGCTACTAGTTACAACGTTTTAGCCTTATCAGGTTGCTACTAGCTACAACAAAGGGCTTTCGTCAGTTTGGACACGCAGTTGACTACCTTGTATAACTGAACAATACCATGGTAAGTAGACTGATGACGAAAACATTACACATACCTAGCGGTGTATCTAGGGTTATAGGGCGATCTCGATCTGGACTTTTTGTTGGATGTCCCTGAGTCCACCCAGCTGTGATATGTACCTGACTCACGTTGGGTTTAGTTAAGGCGGCTAGACACAACGCTGAACACACAATCCCTTTTCATGACATGGTCAAAAAACTCTACATCATCAACGCTTTGTGTGTGAGTTGTAAGGTGTTTTTTCAGTACATTTGGTACTGTGACAGCATATGTAAGCTTTAATAAGCCTTCATTTTAAAATGAAATTATTTTGAGAACCTAGTCGCTGCATACGGGAGAGACAACAGTTTTTTTCATAATGGAATTAAAAATGAATAGGAAATGTAGAATTGCACAGAGGTACGTATCTCAACAATAAGTGTATATGCCTACCAGTTTAACTGCACGAGTGCAATATTCACAAACCTGCCATAAAGTAAAAATGAGACTTGAAGTCAGCGAAAATCTGGGCGTGGTTACATAGAATGATGTAAGTTTGGCTGGTCATATCAAAAACAGTTACCCAATAAAAAAAAACTCCCCCGGACATCCCCCCCTCCGGACATCCCCCCACCGGAGCAATTACCCCCTGTCAATTACCCCCCTGGAAAATTCCCCCCCCCCCCTCTCATCCACCAAGATAGAATCCTGATTCTAACTCCAAATTTATACCTATATATTAACTTAATCCTAACCTTAAGACAAAGACGAAAAACCTACGAATTCACCTCACACTAAAATAAACACAAAACCTTTTAAATAACAAGAATATTTTAAATTAATGAAAAATATTTTTTTTATATCACAAGCTACTTTGATTTCTATAAGTTTGTTTTAACATATCAGAAGACTTAACCACTAACAAAATTGTTTTTTACATCACAATTTCAGTTTATTCACAAAACGCTTTTCATTTCTGTCGATGAAGCCATTCTCTAATTGCACTATTCACCAGCTCTGGTGTATCCATCTGTACAAAATGTCCACCCTCCTCTATGTACCTGACTGTAATTTTAGGGTTCATTTTCTTTGTCTCCTCTGGTATCTCCTTGCATAGCGCCAAGTCTTGACAGCCCCAAATAAGTAACACAGGCATGTCGTAATCTAGATCATAGTTGATCTTCTCCTGTGGCAGCTGAAGACTAGCTCTGTAGTAGTTGATAGGGGCAGTTATTGATCCTATTGTGTGATTGACATAAAACAACAATAGAATCAATCATTGACGAAGACATTAGTTCACTCTAAAATGGCAATGTATAGGACAGTAACCCCCAAGTCAATACCCACAGATTGATTTCTCCCCTACTAATAATTTACCCTTACCTAACCCTATCATTATCTTTAAACTTTCTTATTGTAATGACCTTGTAGTAGGGGGGGGGGATTATTTCCTGAAATTATTTTGTGTGTGGCGGGGGGGGGGGGGGGAATGACCAGGGACCAATGTCCTGCACATATATATGTATGTATATATGTGTATGTATTAATATACGAATGCATATAGATCTCTCCACCCCCCCCCCCTGCCTATATCAGGCTGTTCAATTTTTTATTTTTTTTTAGATTTATACACAGTTATGTATGAAGTCATAAATGTTTGTAGGTCATTATCTCTCACCTTAATTACACAGCAATTACAAATTTGTCAAATATTTAATATAGAAATGTTAAAGAAAAAGAATTTGTAAAACCTTTTTGGAAACATCTTTGAGAATGGAGATAAAGCTATCTGGCTCAAGGAAACCAGTTTCTTTAGATATATGTATATGTAAAGGCATATATATATATATATATATATATATATATATATATATATATATATATATATATATACATATATATATATATATCAGTGGCGTAGCGAGGTCGGGTGTCACCCGGTGCGGCACTTAATGGTGTCACCCCCCCAGAGGCATAGAGACCCTTCCCAGGGACAAACTTTCAAATTTTCGATTTGCACCCCCCCTCAAACTTTCGATTTGCACCCCCCCCCCCTCGAGTTTTCGATTTGCACCCCCCCCCCCTCAAACTTTCGATTTGCACCCCCCCCCCTCGAGTTTTTCTCTATATATTTTGCTATTTTTTGCCTTGGTGTCACCCCCCTAAATGGTGTCACCCGGTGCGGTCCGCACCCCCCGCCCCCCCCCCCCCCCTCGCTACGCCCCTGATATATATATACATATATATATATATATATATATATATATATATATATATATATATATATATATATACCTATATATATACCTATAGTTGTGGTGGTAAGGGGGGGACAACCTTGCTTACAATATCTAACAACACACAACCTAATGATACCACTGCTTTAAATACCACCTTACCAGGCTGACAGTAGGTATATTTGTAGGCCGCAATCTCTTCCTCGGTAAATGGCGTAGGTGTTTTGTAGATGACTGGGAAGCCACTGATGCGTGAATGTTTCCCACCAAACATGCAGTCGATCACCTCCAGGTCACACACTCGGGCCCAAACCTCGGGAAGGTACGGCAGTTGGAAGAAAAACATGTACCTGAGTATTCAAATTCGGAAAGTTACGGGAAATGAGATTTAAATAGGAATGTAAAAGAGAAGGTCAGTTATAAGGAAAGTGAAAGGGAACGTCAGTTAGTAGCATCACTAGTCGGGAGGTGGGGGAGGAGGCACGTCGGGTGACACCAGTTGGGGGGTGACACCACATTGAAAAATTGTAAAATTTACAAGTTAAAAAAAAATAAAACAGTAGGTTAAAGGGGTGACACCAAACCGAAAAAGCTACATTTTTGGAGAAAAGGGGGGGATGACACCCTCATTTACCACTCCAGGAGACACCCAATGTTTCAATAAAAAGGGAAATAAGAGAGAAGGAAAATCAACTGAAAAGTACTAAGTGAGGCTATTTAACAACTTGGCCATACAGAAGATTATTTAACTGGAAAGTAAAAAAGGTCATTTATCAGGAAAGCACTATACTAGATAATGTACATTTAAAGCCTTAATTAGCCTAATTTAAAATTGTCCACGTGTTTACCAAGACATTTTCAGCTGCTTCTTGTTTTTCTTGAGAACATTCTGGAAGACTGGACCAGGCGGGGCATTCAAGACGATCAGCTTGTCCACCATCTGGGGGTGGAGCCTGGCGAAGGGCCAGACAACAACGCCACCCCAGTCGTGTGCCACCAGGGTGCAGCTCTGGTAACCTGGATGTAAACATATACTCATACAGTGTTTCTTCCAGAGTTTTTTCTCCGGGGGGACGGGGGGGGGGGGGCAGATTTGAAATTTTCGGGGGAGGGACTAAAATTTCCGGGGGGGGGGGGGGCGGACACGGGTAAAAGTATATACTATTTAAATAAATTCTATTTCGTTCCGGGGGCGGTAGACATGCATGGAAGAGAGGCCTGGAAGAAACTCATATACTCATACAGTGACATATAGTCATATACTAGATACCAACATGGGGAAGGGAGGCTGTAAGTTTAAGATCTTATAATTTCACTCAATGGTAGGTAGGTTTCAATGTTTATCTTTTAAATCGAAAAGTTGCTTTTTTTTTGTTTAAATCCAAATTTTGACATCACAATTTCTTAACACCCCCCCCCCCCCTCCCATTCCCCATTTTCACATAAAGTAACCGTTAAATTCCTACCCCTCCCCCACAGAGATTCTTCTAGGCATCTCCTCGTAAGTAAGTCTACCGCCCCCGAACGAAATTGAATGTATATAGAAAACATATACTTTTACCAGTCCCCTCCCCCCGAAATTATCAGTCCCTTCCTCCCCCCCCCCTTCCGGAGAATACAGTCTGGAAGAAACACTGCTCCCTCCTTTCATTGGAGTGTGGCGCCATTTATGAAGGACGACACCTGACAAGACGAGTGGACGAGAGGAAAAGCTAAATAACAAAAAGTCGCAAGTGTGAATTCCAGTCGGAATGATTTACTTGAATCTACTCAATTATCTTGGCACAAACAATCAAGACTTGGTTTCTCAATTCCATTTATATTTTATTTCATGAGTAGCTTCCCTTGCTTTCCTTTTTAAAAATGTAATCGTTTTTAAAAAAAAGTGAGACAACTCCAGGTTTTTCAAACTGCTAGAACTGTAATCTGCCCACTGAAGGGTAAACACCTGTCACTAAGGAACACTTGAAAACTAATTTAGTCTTAACATTGGGGGGGGGGGGGGAAGCTTTGGTAATGAAAAGAATGAAACAATTTCAACTATTTACCCCAACGATTTGGAAAAAAAGACACCGAAATAAACACAAAATTATAAAATAACACCAACTGTTTTTTTTTCAATACAGACTCACCTAATGCCTCAATGACCTGTTTGAGATCTGACACCAAGGCATTCATCACATAGGCTTTCTTTCCTTTTGGCTTGGAAGATTCCCCGTACCCTCTTTGGTCTATGGCAACAACTCTGGAATTGGGTTTTTAAACAACTCTAGAATAGGGCTTTAAACAACTCTAGAATAGGGGTTTTTTTTTAGATAGAGCTAGAATAGGGTTTTTAAACAACACTAGAATAGGGGTTTAAACAACTCTAGGATAAGGTTTTTAAACAACTATAGAATAAGGTTTTTTAGATAGATCGAGAAAAAGTACTAGAATAGTATTTTTAAACAACTCTAAAATGGGATTTTTAAACAACTCTAGAATAGGTTTTTTAAACAACTCTAGAATAGGGTTTTTAGATAGAGCTAGAGTAGGGTTTTAAACAACACTAGGATAGGGTTTTAAACAACTCTAGAATAGGTTTTTTAACCAACCCTAGAATTGGGTTTTTAGATAGAGCTAGAATAGGATTTTAAACAACTCTAGAATTGGGATTTTATACATTAGTAGAATATTATTTTTAAATAGCTTTGGAATAGGGTTTTTAAATGGCGCATGAATAGGGTTTGAAACAACTCTAGAATGGGGTTTTAAAGCAACTTCAGAATATGTTTTTACTGCACTGGAATAGGGTTTTAAAACGGAGCTAGAATGAGGTTTTAAACAGCTCTAGAATAGGGTTTTAAAACAACTCTAGAATGAGCAGTAGCGTAGCGAGGGGGGGGGGGCGGGGGGGACATATGTCCCCGGGCGCCGAGCTTAGGGGGCGCCAAAATGGGTTGGAAAAATAAATTGAAAGGTTGAGTGGGGTGCAAATTGAAAGTTTGAGGGGGGGGGTGCAAATCGAAATCTCGAGGGGGGGGTGCAAATCGAAAAGTTTGTCCCCGGGCGCCGGGAAGGGTCGCTACGCCTCTGAGAATGAGGTTTTAAAACTCTAGAAAAAGACTGTCAAAACATTTTGAGAATATTTTATTAAAACTTTAGAAAAGGGGTTTTCAAAAACTTCTAACTTAGGGCTTTAAAACAATTCTAAAATATGGTTTTCAAAACAACCAGTTTTAGAACAACTCTGTTTTAGGCGTTGGATTGATCATTGTGATATCAACTGAAGGCTGGGTAAGTAGACGTGGCGACTTGTAGTGAGGTGCGACGATAATGAGGGTGACCTCCAGGGATAAAGTCGCCAAAAAGAATGTGACGTCATTTAAATACATTAAACAACCTGTAATCTTTCTGGAATTCTCTGATCTGATGGCGCCATGAAAACCAGAACTCAGGAAAACCGTGAACAAACAGCATCAAGGGGCCGCCCTCAGGTCCACTGGCCACGTAATGGATGGTCACGTCCTGAATAGGGATATAGTGATACATAAATGTCACGTCCTGAATAAGGATATATAATGATACATAAATGTCATGTGTTGTACAGGGATATAGTGATACATAAATGTCACGTCCTGAATAAGGATATATAATGATACATAAATGTCATGTGTTGTACAGGGATATAGTGATACATAAATGTCACGTCCTGAATAAGGATATATAATGATACATAAATGTCATGTGTTGTACAGGGATATAGTGATACATAAATGTCACGTCCTGAATAGGGATATAGTGATACATAAATGTCACGTCCTGAATAAGGATATATAATGATACATAAATGTCATGTGTTGTACAGGGATATAGTGATACATAAATGTCACGTCCTGAATAAGGATATATAATGATACATAAATGTCATGTGTTGTACAGGGATATAGTGATACATAAATGTCACGTCCTGAATAAGGATATATAATGATACATAAATGTCATGTGTTGTACAGGGATATAGTGATACATAAATGTCACGTCCTGAATAAGGATATATAATGATACATAAATATCATGTGTTGTACAGGGATATAGTGATACATAAATGTCACGTCCTGAATAAGGATATATAATGATACATAAATGTCATGTGTTGTACAGGGATATAGTGATACATAAATGTCACGTCCTGAATAGGGATATAGTGATACATAAATGTCACGTCCTGAATAGGGATATAGTGATACATAAATGTCACGTCCTGAATAGGGATATAGTGATACATAAATGTCACGTCCTGAATAGGGATATAGTGATACATAAATGTCACGTCCTGAATAGGGATATGGTGATACAAAAATATCATGTGTTGTACAGGGATATAGTGATACAAAAATGTCACGTCCTGAATAGGGATATAGTGATATAAAAATGTCATGTGTTGTACCGAAATATAACGATAACAAATGTCACGTCCTGTACAGGGATATAGTGAGACACATATATCATGTGTTGGACAGAAATATAACGATATCAAATGTCACGTCCTGTACAGGGATATAGTGATACAAAAATAATAATTCTTTCTTAGGAAGGTAACGTTATAAAAAGTCTAATTCTCGCATAGGAATATAGGGCCTGCTGATATCGTGTTAAATCTTGTAAAACATTAGAATCATACAGAATATTAACATGCCATGTCACACTTCTACACTCATCTTCCCGCTATATCTATGTAACAAGTCAAAATATCCCAGAAATCCCAATAAACAAAAAAAAACACACCTTTAAGTCAAGAAACCCATGTGTCCCCAGTGTTGGGTCATCCAGACAAGCGGGCCTAGATATCACCTTCCAGTGGAATACCTTCCTGCAGCCGACAAGGCAACATTCTTTTAAAATGTTGAACAGCACCTTCAAACCGTACCACACGGCCATAAACCACAGCATCAACCACATGAAGAACTTCGGCATCTTTTAACGATCGAACGTTCTGCACAAGTAAAATGAGAATATATCTAAAATGAATTATCATTCTTGTCACATCATGCTTCTAGATGTACCGTTTTTCAAGGTCTAGTTTGGTGTTTTGTAAGTGTGTTATTGCTAAAGTTGTTCATCCTTCTGGGAAATATGTACTTTTTAAACACACACACATTATATATATATATATATATATATATATATATATATATATATATATATATATATATGTATATATATATATATATATATGCTTTATATATACTTACATATATATATATATATATATATATATATATATATATATATATATATATATATATATATATATATATATATATATATATATATATATATATATATATATATATATATATGTGTGTGTGTGTGTGTGTTTGTGTGTTTATAAACTTACACTCTGATGATTCTATACAGCATTTTAACAATATTTTATGGGTTTATAGCTTACTCTATGTTATACACAACGCTGTTTTGATAGCTTAGTTTGTTGTTGATATTTATTAATGATATTATAGTTTCAAAATGACTGAAAGATGCCCGTAAATCTGTACGTATGTACTCCTGACATTAGGACTTCTCGCGATATGTCTCGACCAATGTTTCTGGGTTTAGGGGTGTTGTTTATTATTAAGATAGAACCAATATTTATATTGAAGTTTTCGTTTATGTTGCCGACGAATGTTTTTGTGCTGCGGGTTTTAAGATAAAACAATTTATCTGACTAACTTAGTTTTCGTTTATGTCTTACCTTAGTCTTATAAATAATATCAACTTGCCACGCCCCTCTCATAACATTGGACAAAAGTATACATAATGAAGTATTAACATAGCAAGCCTCAAATCAGAGACCGATACTATTAACTTAACTAACCTGTAAAGATATAAAATCTGTTTAGATTACACTGGGTTAGAACACTATAGAGCACCTGCTACATGTTCACAACAAGTACACACAATGACCTATTGTTCCTGTGTTCATGTTTAGTGTGTAGTTAATGGACTAGAAATCAATCAGCTGGGTTACTGTGGTGGAGGGTAATGAATGCGTGATACGTAATGAATTACTTCTTTTACTATTACTCCAACTATAAACATGTAATGAGAACGCGAACACTCTTATTTCCGACGTACAAATGATATCAACAAGTCCGATCGTGAAATATAATTAAGTTTATAATCAACTAACTTGAATTTTAATTATCAACCACTAATAGAAATACTAGATCTACATCGCAAATATCTAACCACGGCCTTTTCCTACTATGGCTAAACCAGCAACTGTCTCTTCAGTCTTGCGTCCTACGTCATCGCTAACATTGTCGCGTCACACTCACGTCATACTCACACTACACATAATTTATTAAATTCGAGCACATACCCTCCAACCAAATCGTCTACCGTCAATACCAACTCAAGTTTACACCTTTCTTATTAATCTCTACCCGTCTGGTCTTATTTCTATCTATCTACGCTATGAAGATTACGACGTGTCATAACATTGCGCCTCAACGAAGCTTTATACAAGGGTGTAAAAGGTGCTTCGAGTACTAGTTTTTTTTTTAATTAAAAAGTTATAGTACTCAAGAAATCGGGTCGATGTGGTAGTGTGCCTGACTGCTAACATGAAAGCCTCGAGTTCGGATCTCTGTCCAAAGACGTCCCTGGGTTCATGCAGCTCTAATGGGTACCTGACTCACATTAGGGAAAGTAAATGCGGCTGGGCATAGTACTGACCACACTACCCCTTCAAATGCCGAGGTCAAAGAAACATTACGTCTGAAAAGGGAACTTTACTACTTACCCAAGAAGTCACGTTTTAAAATATGTTGCTACTTTTGTAGTAGACCTATTTGTGCATTGGTGCTACCGAAAAGTTATCTACCAGCATCTCATATAAGACAATTTGTAGTGCTGTGTTGTCGATAGGAAATCGTATCACTGTTTTACCGATATACTGTACAGAGTTTTTTTCACTCACCTCTTGGGGTGTGAGGGGGCGGAGTACGAAATAGAATTTATAAACAAAATATTTACGTTAATTAGTACCCCCTCCCCCGGGATTTTAAGTGTGCCCTTCCTTCCGAAAGTTTCAAAAGCCCCCCCTTTCCCCCTCCCCCGGGAATTTATTTTCGCCCTTCCTCCCGAAAGTTTCAAGTGACCCCCTTTTCCCCTCCCCCGGGAATTTATTTCCGCCCTCCCTCCCGAAAGTTTCAAGTGCCGTACACTCACCTTAGAAAAATGTCTGAAAGAAACCTTGATCCTGTAGGCATAAAGTATGTATCTATACACTGTTTTCTGTGTATGCCCCCTATAAACTAAAATCTAAAACACCTGTATTCTTGTTAATCTAACGGTCAATACAACAGAGGGTTGAAGTTGCAAGTTCGCCACTAGTTACATACTACTGCTACTATTACTCTGATATATTTTGACTAACCTATCAGTGTCAAAGCTTTAGCTTCTTCTTAATCAGAGCTAAGGTTAGTTGAGTTGAGATGGTAAGTTTAGATATGATGGAGAAGTAAGGGCTAGGATCAGTGTTGTTCCAGACTTTTTTCTCCGGGGGGGGGGGGGGGGGCACTTGAAATTTTCGGGGGGGGGGGGGGGCGGTAGATTTTCTTCGGGGGGGCGGACACTGTTAAAAGTATATATTTTCTATAAAAATTATATACATTTCATTTCGTTCGGGGGGGGGGGGGGGGGACGGTAAAAAAAGAGATGCCTGGAAGAAACTCTGGCTAGGATTAAGTGAATTTGACTTTTAAAAACTAATATAAACAGAGGTACCATGACAGCGTGACACAAATGTATCGACTCGTCAACAAGAAAAAACACATGTTGGTGCCATTTTGTAGGAAACCATAATGATAGAAGAACTTCATTATTATTTTTGTTTGTAATGAAACTTTTCATGGTTCCATGTTTTTTTAGTCGGGTACCAGACATTGTGAAGTCATTTTTTTTTTGTCTAGAATTTCGCACCGTCTATCTGCTTCTTATCTTAACCACATATTTTATCAGCCGACATTCATCGAACGATAACAAGACCACTATATATGACACAAAGCAATAAATTAATGGTGGTTGAACGTGTGGTTTTGTTTTGATGAGTTTCAACAAATTACGAACAAAAAAAAAAACATTTTAAAGATCGTGAACTTGACCTATATATAACACGCTGCGGTAGCTCTGGCTTGTCATTTTGTTATATTGTACTATACGGGCAGGGATGGAATATAGCCATGTTATATATCACTGTTGCCTTTAATTTATTTTTATCTATGTGATTTACGGTTACGCTCTCGTTAAAGGACGACAACTTCAAACGCACTATCTTAACTATTCGATGACTAGACAGAATAGTAAAGACATTTAAGGAGTTTATGCTGGAGCAAATATACATCTATATTGTAGTGTATACTAGAATAAATCTTCCATTACCTTATTCCTATGTAAAAGATGTTAATGTGAATGAACTTCAAAAATTATATTAGCTTATTGTATTGTGTAAATGATGGTAATGTGAATAAACTTCTAAAATTATATTAGCTTTTTGTATTGTGTAAATGATGTTAATGTGAATAAATTACTAAAATTATATGACCTGATTGTATTGAGCAAGGATAAATATGTGTATAGGGGTCATCCATAAATGAGGTCACACTTTTTGGACGATTTTTACTTCCCCCTCCCTCCGTCGCACATGGTCACAAAAAGCTAGACTCCCCCCCCTCCCCTAAAATAACGTCACACCTCAGCCTACGATCCCCCTCAAACTTGCAGTTGAAATTCTCCTAAAATACGATATTTTTTTTTCAAAACCTTGTCTGATCTCTGTCAACATAGAGTATTTTAATCAATTCCTATTACAATTTATTAAAACGGTTTTCTAAAACGCGAAATAACGGCTAAAAATTAGTTTTCAAACATTGTTTTTTTCTAAAGCATAAGTGTGACGTCCCGCCATTTGAACGCCCGCTTCCCCCTTCCCCCTCATCAAACACCGTCACAAAATTACTGACCCGCCCCCCCCCCCCTTTTCCCCTACGAGTGCAACGTCATTTATGGACGACCCCATATGTGTATTGATTTGTGGAAGAAGCTAAATCAGTAATAGTCAATGTTTTTGACGTAAACGTACTTACTGCGATGTAAATATTGTTCTAGTTTTTTAAAAATTTATACCAGAGCCCGATAAAAGAATAAATAAAAGGGGGTGTTAGGTTACTGGTAGTTTGCTGGAATACACACATGGCTTGTTAATGTCAATGCTAAACCTATCCCTATTTTTGGAAGAGTTTACTATCGGATTTCGGCATCTTCAATCATCCTATTGAAGGTCTAAATGTTGCCTTTATGAGAGATAGTTAAATGTTTCTAAACCAGATCTAAACAAAAAAAAAAATTTTAACTGCTCAAGCAACTATTCTAAATGATTTTTTTTGTTAAAATTATTTAACTGGGATTAAATTTATACCAGCGTAATTATCACAAGTTAGAAAGAAAAAGTCATAGCAAACACAAAGTTGACAGTTATTAGGGACCTATGCCGGCGCAAACAACTAATAAGCATTATTTTGTTTTGAGTATTATTTCATACAAGTTTCACTTCGCCAATTCAGAGTAACCTCCCTGTTTAGAAACAGTCGTATTGAAACAAATTTACAAACCTGCTTACAATCCCATACACAAGAAATTATCCCCTAAGCTGCAGCTTTATAAAGTCTGTAACCGATACTTTGAATACACGTCTCTAGCACACACGTGTGGCTGGGGTATTTTTTAAGCACATAGATTAAATAAACAGATATCGTGTGCATAAAGGCCAAAGTTCACTCTTTTGTAAGTCGGGTGGAGCGGACGGGTGGTGACACAAACAAGGACACCTATTGAGCCGCGACACACGCATAGTGGTGTGTTAATGTGTTGAAAAAGCACTGTCACTTCATGTAAGGTCATATACCTACCAATAAGCATCTCTCTCTCTCTGTATATATATATATATATATATATATATATATATATATATATATATATATATATATATATATATATATATATATATATATATATATATATATATATATATATATATATATATATATATATATATATATATATATATATTTGTATGTATATGTATGTATGTATGTATATATATGTATATAGTGGTAGACATCTATCTACAAACCTAGTACGACTGAGTAACTTTATCCTTAATGGACCTCAACCAGAATTATAAATAAAGTTATAAATAAAGTTATATATATATATATATATATATATATATATATATATATATATATATATATATATATATATATATATATATATATATATATATAGGCCAATGTGGAACTTGATGCAGCCACAAAATTAACTAAGCAGCAATACATTCTTTACCTGTAAATTCCAACACACGTCCTTTTATACACAAAATCTAGATCTTCTAGTATAAGGTGTTATCATTATGAACATTGTATCCACCACCAAGCCAGCCTCTACAACAAACTGCTCGCACTAACTCCTTCCACACATAACTGGCCGTTATTCTAGGTCACGCCGCCTTTACCCACTCAGCGAATCACCTTCATGTTTGTTTTCTCTCTTCACTGTCAGCTTCTACTTTTTTAAAACCCAGGTAAAGTTGTGTGGGTTTTTTTTTAAATGTGTCGTTAGCACGGTATGTAATTAAGGCAGTCGTGCATATGAATCACAAAAAAGGGTGTGCAGGCGGTGTGGTGGTGAGATAGACCAGACGCTTTGATCCTATTTCCGGCTGTGGTTTAAAGTTGAAACGGCGAGAGACGTATCAATGGGGGTGTGGGCTGGGAAATTTTGTACACAATAGACTTTGCTGTGTCGTCAAAAGGGAAAAAAAAAATTCAACATAGATATCGCTTCTTCCCCCCCCCCCCCCGCCTCCAAACACACACACACACACACACACACACACGCAACCCAACATACATCGTATTTAAAATACACTTGATATTATACTTCACACATATTACATTCAAACAACAAACCATTTTTTAAAAAAAAACACCACAGATGAGCATCTCATAAACAATACATAAACGAAATACATCATATAACCTTTACACAAACCACATAAACATCACATATGCATTCCTCTCAAGCACATACATGACAAGCAGATTACACATAACACTATCCCTTCATATGCCGTGGTCTCTGAAACAGCTGAACTCTACTTCATGTGCCCAATGTGTATTGAGCAAAAAATAAAGGAAAAGATGATGATGAGATTATATAAAATATATTAGTTCTATACAATCAGTAAGAAGATATAACACCACGAAGCCTTAAAACATCATGTAAATTAATACACGAAATTCACATAAGCGGCGCTAAAAAAAAAAAATAACAACATCAACAAGAAGAGCACACTAGTATCACGCAAACAAAATTGTACACACATATATTTCGAAAAACATTACAAACTGTAGCCTACGCTAATTGACTCAAACTGTAAAAAAAAAAAAAAAAAAAAAAAATAAATAAAAAATAAATAAAAAAAAAAAAAAACACGCATATTACCCATGGTCACACAGTCATTACTTAAAACATAACGAAAAATCACACAAACCGCACCCAAACAGGAAATCAAATCTTTTACAAACAAAACACAAACTACATACAAACTATAGGCTACACAAGCCATATACAAACAGCTCACAGATGCCTACAAACACAACATATATTACGAAAAAAAACATCTAACAAATATAGCCGAAAAGTACACGAAGCACTAATTACTTTTCCGAACACCTGGATGCAATGAACGGTTATTTGTTTACCTTTTTTTTCTTTTTTTCTTTTTTCAAAACAATTTTTTAAAGTCTTGCAGTTACCGTCTGCATCCGGCTCAAGGTTTAAAAATTTAGAAACTTAAATAAAAAACATTTGCTATGAAAGAAAACATAATTAGGAAACGTTAAGTAATTATTTTTGCCTGGAGTTTATAAAAGCTTGACATTCGTTTTGAAATGTTGTCTTCAAAATCTTACAAGACTGCTGCACATTGGGAACAGGGGTTGTTTCGCTTGCGTGTTTATTAGCGGATTATGGTGATTTAATCCCACCTGGATTAATCATTAACGTTTGTAAATATATATATATATATATATATATATATATATATATATATATATATATATATATATATATATATCATGTAGGACTACTTATTGCTTAGCGGTTCAGCTGTTATTAAAGGTAACTAATGCACTCTAGAAATAAAAGCATCTCGTTCTGAAATGATTTCGTTTCAAACTTATATTTGCACAGAAATGAAATGAAATTGTTAAAATAATTGATAGTTTCAGCTAATTTATTTTTATAACTAAAAACTTTAAATTGCTCACAATTCAAAAGAAAAAAAAAATCATTTTTAAAGGGAGATAAGGATTATTATAAAAGAAGGTAGGCAACTCATATTTTCTATCTGCACTGCAGAGGTTAGAATTTTATAAGAAAATATAAAATTTGAGATTGATATGCATTTGCATCTACCTATTGATCAATTTACTGTTTATTTTATTAACTTGAATTACATGCATTTGGTCATTCAATCATTTTTTTTTATTTCAATAACTTGAAATACTTTCGCACACACAAATTTAATTGTTCTTTCATTATTTCAACAAGTTGAAATACAATTTATTTCTATCAATTATACGAAATTGTCCTAAAATTGTATCATTTCTTCCTCTTATAAATATGAACATAATGAAAACCAATTCCTCAAAAGAGCATATAGACTCTGAGAAGGGTAAAATCATAAGCCCCCTCCACCTTTTACCGTTTACTCTTTGTATCCACCGAAACGGTGTGTGAAAGTAATGCAATTGTTTTAAAATTGAAAAATGAAAGTATTTTTTTTAAATATATATTTCCTCAACTTGAAACCCACCTAACCACCCAACCATTCCCTCATTATTTCAACAACTTGAAACCCCACCTATCCACCCAACCATTCCCTCATTATTTCAACAACTTGAAATCCACCTATCCACCCAACCATTCCCTCATCATTTCAACAACTTGAAACCCCACCTATCCACCCAACCATTCCCTCATTATTTCAACAACTTGAAACCCCACCTATCCACCCAACCATTCCCTCATCATTTCAACAACTTGAAACCCACCTAGCCACCCAACCATTCCCTCATTATTTCAACAACTTGAAACCCACATAACCACCAACCATTCCCTCATTATTTCAACAACATGAAACTCACCTAACCACCAACCATTCCCTCATTATTTCAACAAATTGAAACCCACCTATCCACCCAACCATTCCCTCATTATTTCAATCACTCGCTCCGGCGTGTCCATGTGCACAAAATGCCCAGCCTCCGCGATACGCTTGACCGTTATCTTCGGGTTCTGTTTCTCCGTCTCGTCAGCGATGGCCTCGCTCAGCGCCTCGTCCTGGCACCCCCATATCAGCAGCACCGGAACCTGGAAGTCCATGT